GGGTTCCAGACTAATGAGCTGTATTCAAGTATTGGTCTAGCAAATGTTTTGTATGCTCTAGTTAGTAGTGTGATATTACCAGAGAAAAGGCTACATAGGATTAGGTTAACAACTGTTAATGCCTTTTTGGCTATGTAGTTACAGTGGGCTGTAGCACTTAGATCATTAGAGATGAGTACTCCAAGGTCCTTGACAGAGTTTGGATCATCAACAAGGTCTTGACTATTCAGTCTGTATTCATTTGGAAGATGAAGCATCCCAATTATCAAACCATCATAGTAGGCAACATCATTAAATCTTACTCCCTGCTGTGCGTTTCCAAGCAAATGCAAGAAGGTTGGATAAATAGCAAAAAAATTGAAGTCATAAATGGGACGAAATTCTTGGTCTAACAGTGCCCCCAAGTCCTGCCTTCTTTGTATGTTAGTCCTCAAATTTTAAGTCCTGGGTTTTTCCTTCTGAATTTCTGAGTCAAAGGCCATGTTTGCTCATGTTTCCTGACTTTGAAGTTTTTGACTATTTACCCCTGTTTAGCTAAAGGGCTTGTTGTGGCAAATGTGCAGGGCTGATGTCCAGAAGCAAAGACACTGAGATCAGATCAAAACAGTATAAATCTCTCCAGTTTCAAAGCTAATAAATGAATAGCAAGTCCATTACTGTGTAAGATGGAGGAGGTTTAATAATTTGATCTACATGCTGTTATTAAATAGAGAGCTTGATTCGCAATAGCTGAACTTCCTGGTTATTAGGGCTACTTGTTTCTGCAATAACATCGATGTGTGTTGCCTTGTCCTGCTAATTCTTTTTTTAAATAAATTTTTATTGATTTTTAAAAACAAACATAAACAAAACATAAAAACATAAAACATCTTTTTTGAAAGCAGCTTAATCCCGGGTTACATCTCTTCGTACAGACACAAATTCAAATTCATGTTCATTTTATATACCATTCCATATTACCATTCTACGTTTTCTATATAGCTTCTCCCCTCTTTTAGCTTTCTTAATTTTATTTTATTTATTTCATCTCAGTTCAGATCATTATACTTATATTCTTTGTCTGTCCTGTTTCCAGCTGTCTATTATCTTTTCTCATTGAACAAAATTTCTCCTGTAATCACTGATTGGAGTATGATGCCTTTATATCTTTCCCCTAAATTTATAACACTTAGTATAATCCATAACTTCCATTTGGATTCTGCTCAGTACGTTCTAAAGTTGCACACTATATTTTAAAAAGAAAAAAAATTATAAATATATAATTAAAACAACAATCCATGCCAATTCAAATCTATTGTTAATATGAGTATTCCTTTAAATCTTAAACATTTTACACATTACTTTTCAAATAAGTATCATACTTCTATGATACTTCCCCCCATTTCACTTCTATTTTAAAACATTATATCATTAAAATGTTCCTATTCCTTCCTAGTTCAATTCTCTCATTTATTTCATTTCATTTATTTTATTCACAAAAATTTCAGCGAGTTACACTGGGTATTTTATCCCACTTTTTAATCATATGTTGTTTTCAATTTTCTAACATAATTTCTAATACAAATGTAACAATACAAAACTCTTGAATGTGGATTTGAGTTCCTTGAGAAAGATTTATGGTGGACCCTTGAATGAAGTGCTGACACTGTAAGAATAAAAGGTTTTCATCTCATCAGCATCATCTTTATACTACCTTTCTCTGTACCTTTACTTTCATCTGACCCTGTGGATGCTTTCTTTTGATTTGGGGGAACTGAAGGATGTCCTTCCTTCCACCTCCATTGGTTGTTTTTTTTTCCAGTTGGAACTGACAAAGCCTCTTCTCTTTTATCTTCTCCTTTGTTTCTTTTAATTTGGGCAGATTTGCATTTCTTCTACAATTAAGACTTATTTAAAAAAAAAACCCTCATCCCTTCACTTCTTTCAGTTAATCTCTCCCTCCACTTGGCCACAGATCTCAGGGATAAAGGGAATGTCCATTCTTTGAATGGAACTGATCTACCATTCTGTCAGACATGCCCCCATTCCCAAAGTCTCCCATTTTTCTCCCACATTCCTCAATTCCCAAAGGCTCCCACACCCATCTATATGAGGTTCTTACTGTAATATCAATCTCCCCTCCACAGGCAGCTTCCATTTATATTCAGAGTCAACCCAGAGCCAGTCAGAACTTGCAGCCCATCAGAAAGTTCGGGTTCCTTGGTATGCTGCAAATGCAACTGTTCATCCATTGATAGTTCACAGGAACTGCGCAAACTATTTCAGTGGATAGATATTCCAGATTGCCCTTCCTAAATTGGAAGCCTGTTCAGTTGTAAATTCTTCCTCCCTGCCATTGAGATATGGAGGTGATAGAACAGACTGGCATAGGGTGGAAAGCAAGAGATATCTTCTGAATGTTGGGAAGCTATAGACCAAAGGCAAAAGAATATGCAGGAATGGGAAATGGTCCGTCAACCTGGAGCCAACTTTTTAGATGTTCATGTGGAGGGAAGAACTATCCTTAGCAATGTGGAGAATCCCTGATGGTGACAGTTGGAGTGCTTGTAATAGGCCTTGAATGGCCTGGAGAATCCTTGAAGAGGTCCTGAGCAGTTTACAGATCCTGGAGTAAATGTGAGAGCTGTTGTAGAAGAGAGCCAAAAATTAATAGGGAGCAGTCATGAATGGTAAGTGTAAGTGGCCTGAAATGACAAATCTATAGAGACACGAATTGAGTAAGTAGGATGACAGGATTGTTGAGCATAGCTCCCAAGAATGTCATAAATTGGAGATGTCTAAGCCTGGTGTGGGGATGAGATAGCTGGTTTTGTTGCTCTCTTAGCAACAATTATAACTCCTGCAAAAAGTTGATGGAGACTCGAATTCCTATATGAAGGTAATGAACCTGCTCAGTGGTTCTTCCTTGCAGGCAAAGAAGCGGAAGTTTGACTTCCGAGGGCTACTTCAGCAGCAACAGCTTATGAGAATTTGAGCAGGAAGTGTGACTAGAGCTACTATTGTGGCAAATTCCTTGCCACCCTGTTGGGCTAGAGCTGGTTCATTGTCTTGATTAACTGGACCATTGCATTGCACCTTGATACTGATATTAGAGCAGATGATTAATGGCCTGATCTCCAGAAGGCCTACAGCCATAGCTTTATCCTATGAATGATATGACGTATGGCAGTTAAACTCCCTCCTAACTCCACATTCCAAGCAGAGAGAAGTTGGGTAACCAGATTAATTCAGAAGATTAGGAAGTCATAAATATGAAGAAGTTATCTGCAGAGCAGCATTTTCAAATCCAGTCCTCTCTTTCTTCCTCTTTCTTTTAGTCTCTAGCTTCATATCCTGGGTCTGTTCCCTTTTGAGTCAAGGTCATGTAGTTGCTTGTTTTCTGACTTCTCCATTTGTTCCCTTTTCTGGTGTGCCTATTGGAGATGTCTACATGACCAGTTTTAAGCCTCACATTGGTGTTAGTGTTATCTTATCTGAATGTTTTTAGAGATTGCTAAGTAGTTGGATCTTTAAAAAAAGTTTATCTCCTTTATTCTTTTATGAAGTTCACATCTGATAATTCAGCACAAAGTGCTTGCCTACATTTTGTTGACTTTCTGTACTACTAGGAGCTACAAGAAGCTCAGGTATTTCAAAGTGCTTTCTGCCCTGAGCAATTAAGCATTCCACCACCATCTAACAAGCTTGTGATGAGTTTTTACTGATGTCAGCTGCAGGGGTTGCATTTCAAAACAAGTAGTATTGGCAAGAGGCGTAGGAGTCGCAGCTGTGAAAGCAATGGGTAAGGGAATGTAATTTAGTGGTAGAGCACATACTTTACACACAGAAGGTCTACAGATCAGTCCCCAGACTCATTGAAAGGATCTTGGCTAGCAGAACTGCAACCAATCTCTCGCCTATTATTTTGGAACTCCATTGCCACACAGTAGACAAAGGTTTAACATCAAAAGCCAGCTTTAGTTAATTATGATTTAAGGAATAAAGCACAAGGACTGTTATTTTGCAATGTCCAAGGAAATCTCATTTTGCTGAATTTATATGGCAGTGAAGATCTGTTTTTGTCTTCCCCTTCAAGAAGTATCAAGAAAGCTATCAAATAATGTATTAAGAAAGCTATCTTCTAGACAAGATAGATGCTTGTTCCACTTCTGAGTAAGATGTACTTTGTGCAGCTTGTTCTGAGCATTTCATAAAATAACAAGCCCTGAAAGTCAAAAGCCATTCTTCCACTCCTAGATAGAGCAGTTGGCTGATAACCCCACAACTTGGAGGCAACTTCCAAATCCAGTTCTTCTTGGCCAGAGGTGCATCATGCCTGCTACTGTTTCTCTGCTTTGCCATGCCATTGTCTTCAATGTTGAGTTGAGTAGCTAAGACGGCTTTTTTTGTCCTAGTGCCGTGATGGCAAACCTATGGCACGTGTGCCACAGGTGCCACGCAGAGCCATTTGTACTGGCACGCAAGCTGCAGGCAAACTTACCTCACTGTGCATGTGTGCGCCTCACAGCTGATGTTTGGCCGGTTTGAGGCCTTTTTCAGCCTCCCAAAGGCTTGAGGAAGGCTTCTGCAGGCTTCTGGAAGCCTTGCAGGCCAAAAACTAGCCCTGTTTCATCACTTCCGGTATTTTCGGAAAAACAGGAAGTGAGGAAACGGGGCTAGTTTTTTGCCTGCAAAGCTTGCAGAAGCCTGCAGAAGCTTTCCTCAAGCCTTGGGGAGGCCAAAAAAAGGCCTCATACTGGCCAAAAACCAGCTGTGAGATGCAGTGCAGGTAAGGGGCCGGGTGGTGGTGGTGGGTGGATGGGATTGTGCGCGCATGTGTAGGGGTGGGGTGGGCACATTGCCTTTTGGGTGCTGGCATGTGAGCGCAAGCATGCAAGCATGTGTACAATGAACCCCAAAAGGTTAGCCACCACTGTCCCAGTGTATTTTTTATAGGCAAAGTAAATCCCCATAGTGCACAGTGCTCTGCTTTAACTTCTTTGTTCATTTTGTTCCTTTAGTATTTCATACTGCTGCTCTGCATCTTCCTGCTTGAGATAATTGCTGGAATCCTGGCCTGTGTCTATTACCAGCAGGTAGGTAACATGAGAAAAGGGGGTGATTGGTAAACAGGCTACATTTCATTCCCCACAGGTCTTCGCAGCACAATGAATATTTGTCTACAGAGACCTACTAATTCTTGTCTACTATCAGCCGGCACTACTGTGACAATGGTAGTCATGGGGCTTTTTGGCTTCTTTCCACAAAACCCTGTAAGCACATCTGTTATGCATAGAACCTCCTAAGCTACAGATTTGTGCAAACCTACAATGAACAAGGGATTGGCATCTGGGCACTTGTGTGTCTCAAGGGCCATGCTATGATTTCAAACTGCAGTGCAAACACTTCTTTCATTAATAACTTTGTTCCAGTGCTCCAATAAAAATGCATTTGATTATAAACCTTGTATGTAGGCATTGATATACAACCACTGGCCCAAGTAAGGCAACTTTTACGATGCAGTAAATTTTAGTAAACCAGAAGTATAAAATGTTGCTCTATATGATTTAGAGCAGTTCAGTAGTTCACCCATGCATACACCTGGGAGGATCTTTACCACCAGACCCATTTATTATTTAAGCCATTTACATAACTGCCCATCTTATATCAAATTCTGGTGAGGTTCCAATTGAGAATTAAAACAGTATCAATAATAAAACAACATTAACACCATATTAAGACCATAAACATTAAAAACAAAAACCCAGCACCAAGTTAAGCTTCTGACATGAGTCGCCTCATCCTATCCCATAATAGAAATAGCACTTAGACATATGTACCACTTCATACTGCTTTACAGCAATCTCTAAGCAGTGAGTCAGTCAACAATCTGGGTCCTCAGAAGGATGGAGAATGGAAAACCGAGTCAGCCTTGAGCTGGTCAGGATCAAACTCCTGGCAGTGGGCAGAGTCAGCCTGCAAATACTTCATTGCAAATACTGCACAGTTGGCTAATTTAATATAACATGAAATTGATCAGAAATGAGTCGGTCTGAGGCCATTTTTGTGAATTGTGAAAATACCATCTAAGGGGATACTCTGCTTACTGCATCTGTGCTTGGAATGCAAATCTTGGAATTTACATTGCCTTGTTCTCTTCCCTTTTGATTCTGTAGTACAAAATGGGATGACTGATCATCCATTAGATTCTACAGTGCTTAACATTTTATTTTACTAACAAAAGATGATTGTCACTGCAATATCTCTTGATTGTTCACATAGTTCATACTAAGAAGCCCAGAGAGGTGAGAAATAGGGAGGAATGAAGATGTGAATGGGTGACGTGGAGATCTGTTTTTAAACTCCTTAAGTGACTTGTTGTATATTTTGCAATATCCACATTGGACTGCAAGTACATAAAATCCCAGAGATGGATTCTTATCTATGAAACTCACTTCACTGGAAATGTTAACTACAACATTTTTAAAAACCTTTATTTTGGTCTGCTTATTACTGACATATTAATTGCTAATCTTATTATTGCTGCTCTCTTTTAAAGTGATTGTAATGCGTTTTATTGTACATTGGTTTTATGATGAAAAGGGGCATTGGTTCTTACCTGATACGCTTCTTTTCATGGAGCTGTCGAGAGCGTCCAGGTTGGGAGGAGCTCCAGTCTCGGCTCTCACAGGCTGAGCTTGAAATTGAGGAACGCCCCTCACCATCACGTGGTCCTCGGGCGCTCCCCAG